ACATACGCATGTGCTTTTCTAGACTACTCCTCGGCCTTTAATACGGTCCCGCGCCACATTGTTCTTAATAAAACTTTGGCATGCGACTCTCCCGGCTTGGCTGTATCTTGGCTTGGGGACTATTTCAATGCCCACACTCAATTTGTTTAGTGCGGCAAGCGAAAATCCACGGCCCTCTCAACAACTGCAGAGATTTCCAAGAGTCTATATTATCCCCTCACCTCCTCTCCCTCCACAGTGACGACTTACGATCACCAAACGAATGCTTTTTTGTTAAAAATGCTGATGTTATGGTTGTTGACCATCCTTTCAAAAGTCAGATACATCCCCAAGTACTGAAGGATGGCTTGGACCACGTCTCAGCATGGTCGTCAGCAAATGGCCTTCTAGTTAACGAGTGGAAGCCAGTCCAGTACTTTTTTCGAATGCGACCCCCTCCCAGTCATGAAATAATTGACATTATGCCCAACATGGCATTTATTTCCGGTACTTCGGTATTACTCCCATTTACTCTTCACATTGAAGACCTTTTTATTAAAATCCATAAACTTTCATAATACATCCGCCGTTAACGTTCATATCGCACACCACTAGCCCTAATCTGGCGATTTATAGATGTATGCATTCTCCCTCTCATTCCTTATTGCTTTGGAATTTAGAATTTGTATTTGTTATCACCAGGAAAACACTATCAATACAAAATTAGTGTCGTAAAAAATTTTTTTACGATCTGCGCAGATAAATGAACAAATTTATAATAACGTCAACATAAATTGGCCTTTTAGGCAATATTTTGCAAGTAATGGTGAACTAGAAAATAGGAAGATAAAAAACTCCTACAATGAAAATGGGGGCAGAGTTCGACGTGCCTCCATTTTTGAAAAGCGTGTAGGAGAAAAAAAACAGCTTAGCGGTGGATACCACTCAAAATTGCGGTGGCAGTAGAGTATGTGGAACCCACTATGACCTTTTGTTTTCGATTAGATAGCTATGATCTGACAGAGTCAATAAGAGGACTACGAAATCCTGTAAACTCTAGTTTGGCTAGGAGCTTTATCGAATGCTCTACTAAGATCAAAGTAGATAACTACTACAGATAAATGATCGTTGCGAAGAGAAGTAAGTTGATTTAGAAAAGACGTGTGGCGTGTTTCACAAGATCGGTCCGGCAAAAAGTCATGTTGTTAAGAGTTGAGAATTTGATTGCTTATGCAGAAATCTGTATTTTTTTGGCAATCATTTTTTCAAAGAGTTTAGACAGAGAGGGCGTTTTCTGAACACCGCAATAATTTTGAATATCCTAGTTAAGTTTCCAGCTTTACTGAAAAAAGTTCTAGTCATTTTCAAAAGTTTTCTTAGAATGCTCTATCCAGCTGCCGCTGTTTCCTATATTTTTAAGCTGACATTATAATGCAGCGACATTTAATAACTGTCAAGTAATTTGCTGATGGCATCCTTAGTGAGGTAGCTCACTCTCTCCACTCTGAACTTATGGCTGAAAAGTCTTCCCGTACTAGGCACCGAAGCTTCCGTCATATGCCATGTCATGCATCGGCATATCAGCGCCCTGTACTCCCATTCGTAACACGCTACCTCACGTGTGGAGAAACGGGAATTAGGAAGTTGAAAGCCGACCTGTCTCCATAACAGATACGAACATCGTGTAAACCTTTAACTTTGAGTATTCGATGACCCTTTACATTACCTTATCCCTTGCGCTCCGTGAATGGAGCCATTTTTTGCTGAAAAATTTGGATATTACCTTCAAAATAAAGCATTCTATATCTCTCAGATCACTTCATTTTTAACTCTACTCTACAGGAATAGAGTAATCAAGTGTTAACACCCGTAACTCTAAAAATACAATGGAATTTCGGATGAAGAACAACCCTATTTACGGCCATTTCAGGTAACGAGCATGCCAATACCGAAAAAATGGTTTCACTTGACTAGCTTCCGCTCAGTTAACGACTTGTCAGTGCCTGTGTGGGCTTGTGTGCGCCGCTGAGTTCTGCTCCCAAAGTGCGGGTACACGGCCGTCTGCAGCCAATCAGTGAAGTTATGCAGTTTGCTTGGTCCCATTTCGCCAGGCGAGCGTTTCAAATAACGAACTCGGTTATAATGTATACGATATACAAACGCGCAGCAGCACCCTTCGTTTCCCACGACAAGGAGTGTTCTGAACCAGAATCATCACTATCCCATCTCATTGCAACATATCAAATCAAGCTAACTTCTCATTTGAGCAGTTTTTTATTCTTTACTTTTTTTGGAAATCGGTGGCTAGCTGAACTCTGCCACCGATATGGGAATTTTTTGACCGAGTAATCTTGTTTGGCTATTATTTTATAAGAGTGTTCGTTGTAAATCAGATATGAATTAAGATGTGTAACATACTACTCATTCCTGTTGTTACGCAATTGCTTATGTGCAGCTGTGATCATCAAACTTGTATCTTTTTACCACAACACTAAGTTTGTAATGGAAGGGATCCTTGGGCCTTAAATATACAATTTATTTATTTATTTATCTCTCGTTAACAGTCCTGTGGATTTTCCTCGCAGTTGCAGACTGCGCTAAACTCTCCACCGATTCTTTAACCCAACATGGCGGTATCGCTTCTTGCACAAAAATCAAAGAATGCTGTAACAATTTATACTCTCTTATGCTCGGTACTTTTGTAATATATCACGTAGTTCGCTTTTGTTAGTATACCTTTCACACAAATCTGTGTCTTTATCTATTCTAACCCTCTATGTGTACACTTTTGCCTATTTAATTAGTCTGCACAACTACTTTCCAGTTAGGACTTATTAAAGGTGTGGTACGTCA